TCTCTCTCTCTCTCTCTCTCTCTCTCTCTCTCTCTGGCGGTGACCTGTAATTGGATGTAATCCCTGTGTTGCTAAGCTTCATCAGAGGAAATGAGGAAAGTAGTGATGGTGTGGATGATACTGATACTGATCTGTGGTGTGTGACGATCCAGCCCACTGTCTCCGGATTAATGTTGGATTATTGCAGCAGCTTGTCCGTTGTGTAACTTCCTGTCTCTCCTATAAAAAAAAAAACAACTTGACCTTTCATCCCACTCAGTCCTTATCGTCCAGCTCACATGGAATCAGGCTCCGCCATAATGACAAGTTCTTTTTATTGTTTAAAAAAAATATAACTTTAACACCAAACATCGCTCACCTAAAGTCACAAACTTATTTTGAAATCTATTTTAAATGCAACATTATTATTTCAACCTGTCGTATGGGGTAGGAGGGGCGCGTGGTGGGCGGGGGGCTGTTTTTGCAAACTCATCTGTATGAGTTCAGCTGAGTCATTTGGGAGGGGAGACGTAATGTGAGAGCAAACTGTCACGGCCGATCAGAACAGACCGTCTCTGTACGAGGCTCCTGTCGTCCAACTAAATATAGCAGCCAAGAGACAAACCCACTGCAGCCTCTACTTCTCTGTTTAGTCCTGTATTTAACCCCCCGCCCCACACACCCCCCATCTATCAGTGAACACAGTCAGATGAATGTTTGTACATCAAACCAGACGTCTGTGACATTTCCAGAACAAAGACTCTGACGTAGACATTTACATTTGTGCAAACACGTCATGAACCCCTGCAGTACCTGGACCCGCCTGTTGAAGGTCTCTAGTGTAAAAGACGAAGGTTTAATCATTGAAGTATAAGAGTTTAATACTGTGACACAGATATTGTCAATATATATACTATATATATACAATATACATAAATATATAGTATATAAATACACACATATATACTGAATATGTGTTTATATATATACACATACATATATACATATGTACATACACAATTATATATGTGTATATATTTATATATAGTATATATAAATATATATTTATTGGTCATGCAGACGATGCTGTAGGCGATGTTTCCGTTGGAATCAAATTCTCCGCTGATCCAAATCCTCTCGTAGTTCTACCTTTATCAGTAGAAACAAGGTTTGTTTCCCACACAGTTTAAATTGATTTGTCACTTTGTGATCTTGCAGCAACAAACATCAAATACAGAGAGACACCAAACGGTCCAGTGTCCTCCTTGTCCTCTTAAACGGCAGGTATGCGTTACTGTGATTTCCCCAGGGACCATGTGTCTGAGGAGAAGGGGACGGGGTACTGTGGGAGGCACACAGGCACACAGGCAGGAAGTCATGCTTTATTCAGAAACACCTGCTGTACCTGATCTTTTAATGCATACTGAATATGGGCGTCTGTCACGAACCGAAGGCAGCGATCGGAAAAACAATCAACGATTCTCCTCACGCTTCAGAAACAGTATTTTTTATTATTTATAACACTAGTGTGTATTTTTTCTTTTTGACATTTGCACAGAAAAAAAAATAGCTGCAAGAAAAAAGCAGTAGTTTGTGTTTTTTTTAAAAATCTGTTTACAGCACAAACAGACTTTCAGAGGGACAGTTCCCTTGGAAACAAAGTGCCTCACGGACTTATCAGCTCTTTGACCTGTTCAGTCCTGATACCTTTAATAGCCGGGCTGCATGGTGGATTTGCTGCCGGCTCTCTTGCCTTACGGCAGGAACGTCAAAGGTTTAAGTCCTGCCTTGAACTACTGGTATTTCATCTTGAATTTCCCGTGTGTGTACGAGTTTTCTACAGTACTGCAGTTTCCTCTCGCATACTGTACCACCAAGGACGGGTCGGTCGGACTGGTGATTAATTTATTAACGTTCTTCTGTTAGTATCAGAGACCGCGGTCGGATAATACCATGCAATCGTGATTAATTTATTAAAGTTCTCCTGTTAGTATCAGAAACCAAATGAATTGAACTTTGACCTGTTGTTTTGAAACGTTGACACTTTATCTTTAAATGAAAAAAGTACTACGTCCTGGTACCAAATAACCTACGGATCAGCACCAGTCCCTGGACCAGGGGTTGGGGACCCCGGCTGTACAGTACAGGCTGGATGAATGAAAATGAATGAAAAAAAAAAGTTCCTTTCTTCAAGTAGCTGACCTTTCGTCAGCGTGACGCCATATTGGGCAGGCCTCATATATCTGGGGTTATTGCCTGGAAAGATGCCGGTGAGACTCCCATTTGTTGGAGCGTGTCAGGTCACTCTGAGAGGCGGAGGCAGGACGACCCTGAACAAGAATCTATTTATGTGATAATTCACTGCCCGTGTCTTCTCTTTATCTCCAGCCGGCGGCGGGGGCTCGACAGCAGGTGTTGCCACCTGGTGACAAATTTGTGAAAACTCGGGAGGAGACGCTGACGTCCGTGCACTTCAGTGTCACCGCTGTTATAAATACCCAGAGATCCCGGGGCAGCGTGCGCTCGCGGTGTAGTTGTCTGGCTGCAGTAGATAATTCTCTGACACATTATGAACAGTGAACACTCTGCATAAACAAATGGTGTGTGTGTGCGTGTGTGTGTGTGTGGAGGGGGGGTGATGGGAGTGTGTGTGACAAATGAATCGAGGTCAGTGTGTAGTGAGGAGATAAGACTGTGGATGGTGACAAGCAGGTAAAATATTTAGCTGAAAACACTCGGGGGCAACAGTGAATATCCAGACCAAAAATGTTTTTCAACCAAACGACTAAACCGACTCCTCAGGTGTTGTAGGTCAAAGGTCATTCATTCATTTTTCTTCTCCCTCTTGGTGCTTGTTGGGGTCGCAGGGGTCTGGACATCTGGACAATTCAACAGTCCGTCAAAGGGGCTCCACACACAGAGACAGGCAGCCGTTCACACTCACATTCACACCTGTAGTCTTTTAAGAGTGAACGGTTAATCTAACCCTGAATGTTTTTGAACTGTGGGACAAAATAGAAGTACCACTGGTCATCGACCAGTGTCTCACTGTGAGACCAGGGGGCAAAAGACAAAGGTCAGGGCAGTTAAATCACATTTATTGAGCTTGGGGCCAGAGGGTAGGATGCTTGCCTTACATCTAAAAGGTCACCAGTTATTTGATTTAATCCCTGGAATGTTCTCGTGTGTGTGTTTGATTTTTTTTTTTCCTGAAATTGAAGAGTTCTCTCCAACACTCTGTGAATTCCATTATTTTTTTCACTCTTAAGCCACAGCAGGACTGAGGTTTGCTGCAGTGAACCCATGATGGGCTGTGAACCTTCTCAAGGTTAAGGAAGCTGTTGGCGCTCCTGCTTTGCCTTGCAAAGAGGGTGCAGCCCTGATGAAGTGCAGCTACTTTGTTTAAGAGTGACTGAGCGCAGGTTTTAGCAATCATATGTTGATATTAAGAGTGACTGAGCGCAGGTTTTAGCGATCATATGTTGATAGTATGTTGAACAGGGCTGTAGCTGCAAAGATTTACAAACTCAGTTGTTGCACACTACATTTTCAGCTTGCTTGCTAACAGCAAAAAACCCCAAAAACAAGCAAAATGGCACTGTCGCCTTTAACTGAAGGTCAATTGGCTGAACGGCTAAATATAATACGTTACAGACGAATATATTAGTCCTCAAAATAGAAAAAAACCCTCAACAATATTCAAGGTAATAAAATACAATACAGTAAAATACTGCAGTTTTTCTCAGATGCCACTCACTTTTACTTCCTTTCAAAAATCTTTCACAGTTCTTCTAATTGTGTAAAGTATATTAAAGTAAACACAGTAACGTGGAGCGCTCCATTATTGCTGTTAATTATTTTAATTATTGTTATAAAACCTCAGGAATGCAGCGCTGATGTCTCACCTCCTCCACCCATGACTCCCTGGAGGTCGCCCACCGCTAATTGAATCTCGACCTGTGGGGGACACCGGATGGGTGCATGCATAAATAACATCAGCACCCTCCCTCCCCCCTCCTCCCACCATATAGGTGTATAATCTCAGCGTCCTGTGACATCACGGACGGTCGTTGTCAAAGAATCAGATTCCTCTCCTCCTGCAGTTGAGGGGAGATCGGGGGGTGGGAGAGGAGGTGTTGGGGGTAGAGGTGTGATTCCTCAACAACTATCAGGCGATGTGTTGTTAAGGGGGGAGGGTAAAGGGCGCCACCATCCTGATGAGATGGGAATCCCTGGGAGTGGGGCGTCTTAAAGGGATTTTTTATATCAATATTGTCCTCCATCGAAAGATAAAGGTCTTTGGTTTGGCTGATAGTATATTGCGGTGTGTGTTATGTATTTGTGTGGCTGAGCTCACAGTGAGTGTCATTTAAAAATGCATGATTCTGATGCTCTGTAAATCACCTTTAAACGGGTCAGAAAATACAATCTTCCTGTTTTAATAAATTATTTATTTATGTATTTATTTTTATAAATACCTACTAATTAATCCGGACCTAGATTCAGTGAATTTTTTTTTTTTTTTTGAATGGGCCGGTGAGATAATTCTGTTGTTTTGTCCGTTGTAATTCTTCATTCTTAATGGTTCTGTAATCCCCTGTTGTCCCTCATTGTCTGACACGTACAACACACACAAACACAAACACAAAGACAGTTTTAATCCCAACCACCATTTCACCAAGGGTTGATAAACGGCAACAATATTGGATTAAAAAACAACAATTTTCTCTCGTCGGCATCCTAACGGTCAGTACACAAAGTTAGTTTCACACCAACAACCTCCAAACTGATGAACAGACCACGCAGGGACCACCACCGTGTATAAAACGAGCTTGTTATTTTGCATTTATTCCAAATTATTCAAACAATAATATGAATAATTCAAATATTCATAAATATAAATTGTCAACTCGACAGTATGACTGCATAAAAGCTATTCATTTTTTAAATTGTTCTGTTGTTTTAATTATCTCCTGATCCTCCTACCATTGTTCCTCTGTCGACCCCCAGGGGGTCGTGAACTCCCTCTTTAGAACCTGTGCATTGGAGGATGATTTAGCTGTCATGTAGCAGGAAAAGACATTACTGTCAGAGGTCTGTTGGGATGAAGAAGCTTTCTGCTCCGTGGGGATCAAACCAATTAGAGTTATCAAAAGGCTTTCTGCCCCTGGAAAAGACGCCTGTAGGAGGCAGTAGTGGCAGTTTACCTCTGGAGTTCTGTTCTTTTACCAGGATGAAGATGAGTCCAATTTATTTATTCTTTATTTATGCATGTGTCAGATGTGGTTGCCACAGCAACAGCCCTAGCAGGCTGATGAATTAGTGTCAGGACTAGAGGAAAGCTCTGTTACTGCAACTGTTCTTCCCCTTTAAAGAACCCTGGAACACAGGTAGCATCGATGACGATGAAGGTTTAACGGAGATCGAACTATTGTTAAGAGTGTGATTTTAAACAAGTGTGTATGTATACCTGTATAGCTACACTTGTTGGGACATTATTTGGTCAACACATCCTTAATCTGAGGAACCTTTGATTTATCAGGACATTTAGGATTAGATTTAGGATTAGATTTAGAGACAAATTAGAGTTGGATTAAGATGAGGGATATGTTTGTAAGAGGTTTGGTGTGACAAAAACACATAAAACAGTGTATGCATGTGTGTGTGTGTGTAAAATGTGAAAAAAAAGAGACACAAAGACCGACTGAGAGAGTGAGAGAGAGTGAGGGAGAGACAGAGAGTGGGAGGAGATTCAGAGGCAGGAGAGGATGCTCAGTGAGAGAGTGCAACACTAGACAGAGCCGCGAGTGTGGCCAGCTGCTGAGAGACTGATGTCAGGTCGCCGCTGAGCCACAGAGCCGTCTGCAGCCACAGGGAGAAAAATAGACAAGGAGACAGGAGGCAGCTGAGGAGGAGACACAGGGGAGAAGGAATGCTGAATTAGTGGAGAACCGGAGGTAGTGTGTCACCCCCCCTCCCTCTCCATTCCTGGTCAATGGTTGGACTACCAAGGGTAGAGCCAGCCTTCAGCTGCCCATGAGTGAGTAAGTTTGTTGGACCTCTTCTTCTTACACTTCTCTTCTTCCTCCTCCTCCTCCTCCTCACAGCCTGTCTCTCTGGGCTGCATCACTAACCAGCCGGTCCAGATTATGCTGTTTGTTGATGTGTTTAAATAATACTGTGGTATGGTGCAGCAAAGTGACCAAGAGGAGAAGCAGGAGAAGCAGGAGGAAGAGGAGGAGGAGGAGGAAGAGGGCGGAAGTAGTAAGTCAGGCAGGTGTGTGTGTATGGATTTGCATGTACTCTTGATTTTGTAGGTACTTTGTTGTGACCTTTTGCAGGAACCAATGGTTCTGCAGGGATTAATGTTGGTTTTTCAGAGGTTTTCAGACGGGGGTCTGTGGACCCCCTAAGGGCCATGGAGATACTGCAGCATTGTCGAAAAGATAAAATAAAAAATATAAATAATAATATAATAATATATTATTAATGTAATATTTAAAAATATTATATATATTAATATATATATATATATATTTTTTTTTTTGCAGGAACAGTTGTCATAAACCAAGTCTTGAGGCAAAAACCGAGCAAAACTTGAGGCTCCGACTGTATTTCTGAGGCACTGACTCGGGGTCAGGACTTGGTTTTGTATGCGTGTGTGTGTTGTTTTTCTCCAAACATCACATTCATGTGATGATGTCAGAGTTTGTTCCTGCCTGGATTTGTTTTGTTTTTCATTTGTTGTGGTAGTTGTTTATTTACAGGGAATATTAAAGAAACTTTGCTTTTCCTGTTAGCGTTAAAAATAAAGTAAAATGGTTGTCTTTAGTCTCAGTAAATAATCTGTGTGTGTGTGTGTGTGTGTTGCATTCATCTTTCACAAATCAGCTCTAATTAGCAGTTGAGGGCAGCTGATACTTCATTGTCTCCTCCTCTCCCCTGGGGGAGCTGCTGCTGGGGCACTTCACCCTCTTCATGTTCACAGAGCATGCTGGGAAAAAGGGCCTTGCATCCATAATTGTTCTTCATTTCATTTTGATGATGCAGGATGCAAGATGCACTTGTTGTGTAATGGTAGTATGTTAATGATTTACACTCCGGTGATTCAAAACAAACACAGTGAACAGAGAAGAAGATGAAGAAGAAGAAGAAGAGCGGGAATTAATGTGTCTGTGTGAATGAACACTGGTCGTGTGTGGAGGTGGTCGTTGATTGGAGAACTTTGAAGTGACCATTATTGTGAATCTGATTTCCTTGTGGCTGCTGTGACCTCTGACCTCGACAGAGATCAGTATAGATTTTCCCATTTGCTCTATATCTTTCACCAAAAGACACAAAAAAACCCCATTTCTTTGTAGACCTGGTTTTTTAATTGTCCTCCGACTCAGACCTCAAACACTGCCACCGTTCCTGACGGAATCCTTTCTTTCTCTCGTCCGATTGTAGGAAACAAGATGGGAGTGAAACCCGGAATTCTTCAACACTAGAGCCCCAGCTGTTCCAGCCAACGGCCCCTCAGACCTCCTCGCCATTCCACAAGGTAAGAGGAGAGAGAGGGAAAGGCTAGTGAGCACACACACACACACACACACACGCTGACCCCTCGACCTTATCTGACTGTGGACCATGTGACCTTCCTTACAGTGATCTTTGTCTGGTGTCTCCTCTAATCCCATCTCCACCTGCTGCAGCCCGTGTTAAGGCTGTCGTGACGAATATGACGCAGTTTTACTTGGACGTTTTTCTGCGTCGTCTTATTTTAGCGTCTATTTTTACACTTCGCGAAGCGCCAGTGATTATGTCCTTATTTAATTAACAAAAATTGACGTCTTTTGTCTGCGTAGAAGCTGTCAGTCTTTCAAAGTGGCTGTCGACGTTTTCTCCACCCCACAGCTTGAGACGTTTGACTGCATCACAGCGCCTGTCGCTGCTCTCAGTTTTCATAAATGAAAAGACACATTTTTGTCTCCTACTGTTTTCAGGGATGTGTCACCAAACCAACTGTAAATGACGAACTTCCCTCTGTTGTTTTATGGGCTTTGTGTCGTCACAGAAAGAAAAAAAAACCTGCTTTTCTGCTTCTTCCTTTATCTTAGTTTTTCCTTTACACCTGGGGCGTCAAACTCATTAGGGTTCAGGGGTCATGTACAGCCTGATTAAATGTCAAGTGGGCCGGACCAGTACAATCATAACATAATTACTTATAAATAAGTCCATGTTTTTACCCTTTGTTTTTCTGCAAATAAGTGCAAGTATAGTAGAAAATATTCACTTTTAATGAAATATAATTTGACAAAACATCACTAAAATGAAGTGTTCGTGCATGTTTTTCACTTTCATAATTCATCAAGCGGGCCGGATTGATCGCCCTAGCGTGCCGGTTTTGGTCCACGGGCAGTATGTTTGACACCCCTGTTTTATACAGCTAATTACAAGAGTTTTTTTTTTTTTTTTAATCAAGCTTCAAGGTGGAAATAATAATAATAATAATAATAGTCCTTTATTTGTCGGAAAAAATTGTCTGACAGATACAGGAGGCGCCATTAATTACATAGTAGCAACTGACAGGCTGCCACGCAGTAGCCATATTTAGGGATATGTGGTTCCTCTGGGAATCAAACCCAGGACTCTCTGCTTCCTGCAAGGCAGGCGTGCTAACCGCTACACTATGGAACACACAAATATGACAATGTGGTAAATCTGGAACGACTAAAAAGGTTTAGGTTCTAAAAAAACATGGTTAAATCTTCACGAGTGTTTCTGCCGTAAATGAGCAGCTGGCCTGGAAAAAACCAGCGTTGGTATTTAAGGAACACAGACAGTCAGCAGAGCTGCTGTGTGATGATTAAAGTGGAGACAATCTCACGTATCTCAGGTCTCCCCTCATTCTGGATAAAGGACTTAAACTCCTCCTCATCCGACGCCATCCGAGTGGAAAAGCGATTAAAGGGGAATTTAACAACTGGTTTGTTGAACAGTCACCCCCGCTGCCTGGAAACGGCACCATCTGCTGGCCCCTCCCACTTACTAGTTACAATTAGTCACATGTGAAGAGAAGGTTTGTGTGACCTCGGTGTGCCTTTAGGTTCTGGATGATGAATATAAACACCAACGGATTTAATGCTCGGTATTTGCCACGTGCTGGAGCTAAAAAAACAAATTGATTTAACGGTCATTATTAGCCGTTATTACTGTGGATTGGTAATACTACGCCATCAATGAAAGATCATTACATTTTCAAAATAAAACATCTTTCAGACTTTATTCTGTTAGTATCAGAGTCTGAATGACCTGTTGTTTTGACAGATTAAAGTAAAGTAACGGGATATGACTGGATTCTTTTTGAATGAAGTCAATTAGTAAAACTGAAGTACATTTTTTCCACTGTGTCTCACTGCGACCCGGTACCAAATCAACAACGGACCGGCACCGTTGGGAACCCCTGCCTGCTGTTTTGAAACATTGACAGATTAAAGTAAAGTGAAGTAAATCAGGTAAAAACATATATTTTTTCTTTTTTTACTGTCTGCCAGAAAAAGTCTAACATTGTGGGGCCTGAAAAAATAATGTATGACTGGATTCTTTTTGAATGAAGTCAAATATAGTGTCCTATAATGTGTTCTGTCATCACGTGGTGTCCGGTACCAAATCAACAACGGACCGGCACTGGTCCCCTGACCAGGTGCTGGGAACCCTTCCGTGATGAGAATCGTAGCGTTGACATGTTTTTCGTCGTATGTCTCTATAACAGGAGTTTTAAAAAGTCTAACATTGTGGGGCCTGAAAAAAATAACTGCCCCTGCCCCCCATCTTTAGCCACACACACCTTTCACATAAGAGCATCAGCACAAAAGCTCAAAGTATTATTACTTAGCCCGGGGGGGAGGGGGGGCAGTGTCCTATAATGTGTTCTGTCATCACGTGGTGTCAACCCTGGAATATTCAAACTAGTCTTTTTAGTCCAGTGGCCTTTAACCACCGACTCCAGCCTGATTTACATCCAGTAAAACCCCTCCCACAGCCTGCAGTAGTACAGGAGGGTCTTAAACTCCCATCAGGGACTGGACTCAGATCCAGACCTGGACTGTAGGTGGAGATAAAACCCACATTAATCTTCATTCTCTCAAACTGCTCACCGTCTTAATGAGCCATGTGACTGTATGTTCAGCAGTTCAGAGTGAGAGGACAGGGGGAGCTGTGGTGCATTTAATTTCCCACTCGATCCTATTATCTCTGAAATTATATTATATTATATTATCTAATGAAAGGTGTCGGTACGACGCCTACACACAGATGGCTAACAGGATTGATTTACTCATCTTTACTGCAACTCTACAAATGATTTTTTCCGGCGGCTCGGTGTCATGACCCACACAGAGGTCACTGGTTATCTGGTTACCTGGTTTTCTGGTTATCTCTCTGTTCCCACTGCTTTGTTTACAATTTTTTGTGACTTATTAGTGATCAGTTTGCCTAAGCAGCAGGATAAATACTGGACTCCACCTCTGGCTTCTGTCACCTGAGTCAGGCTGTGTCAGTAATTAAAGCAGATGTAGACGAGTTTCTCCTCCCACAACACACTTTTCACAAACAAAGAGTCACAAAGAACGATGAGCCGAGGACACTGGCTTCCCTTAGAGGATTATAACGATACGCTCTTAGCTTAGGTGCTGCTTTACATGGAATCTGAGACTTTTTTTTATCCTCTTGTATGTTTTAAAGACTTTGCGCTGACTCTAGACGAGCCTGTGGAGCTAGTTTTTCACCCCCAGTCGTCAGTGCAGTGAGCACAGATGCAGCTCTGCTTCAGCTGCTGCAGCGTGTCTCTGTGAACTTCTTCATCACCAAAGCCGGTGAGGTCAGCGCAGGCGTTAACGCTGCAGCATGTCAGTGTGAGGATAGAGGTTAGAAAATGGCTAAAAATCCTGACATCCACTTCAGTCATCCACTGATGACGAAGGTACACTGGAGGAAACCCATCCATGTAAGTACACCCTCTGTGGAGACGTTAGAGAAAGGGGGAAGATGAGTCCAGACTTTTTCCCACGTTTGTAGCAGATGCTAAGACTCAGAATGATTAATGGTCAACCATGGAGGGACTGTTGCTGGTTCAAAACCTACTGTATGTACCAGCAAATCCATCCTTTGTCAGTATGTACACAGAGTTCAACATAAGGCTCCACAGTTCGACTCATATTGTCCTAATTTTCTGTTAATGTTGTTGAAGCTTGGCTTATTTACTTTCAGGGCTTGTGGCAGTCGGTGTTTGCACATGGTGGAGGACTGTAGTCGTATTCACACTGAGCTCTGTACACACGCCGTGTACTAAAAAACTTCATACGTTACCAGGCTCGACCTCAGGGCCTTTGTTTTGTTATGACAAAGGGATGCAGAAATCCACGCTCTTTGTTAGCCGTCGTTTTGTCCGTGGTTAAAGGACGAATGGTTCATACAGTGTACATGTAAAAACCTCAAGGACAAATTTCTAAATGCTGGGGTTGGGGCTTTGACAGGGGGGCAATTAAATAAAGGAGAAAAATGTGTAAATTACACCTGGATTTGCAGGATTGACCAATGAGAAAGAAGAGATTGTTCCAGTGATTAAACCTTCTTCACAATTGAAGTCGTTGTTGAGATAAGATCTTATGATAGGAATATTTGGACAACACCTTAAAAACTACTGGGTTTTGACACCGGGTGTTGACCTTTGACCTTTGGTTCTTTGACCCAAAGTTCTTCACTTTAAGGTTTATTTATTGATTAAAAAACATATATAAAATTATATGTTTATATATAAATATATGTACACATATTTTATATTGTCTCTATATTTTTATATAAATAGAATATATATATACATATACTGTATTATATATTTAGAGACATTTATATACAGTATATTGACTTGACATTTTGCTTGAATATGAAGATCTACTGGAGACACAGCCTACAGTGTGTGTGTGTGTGTGTGTGTGTGTGGCCATGATGTGAACACTGTCCTGTATCTGAAAGTATATAAATCACAGCAGTGACTCAGAGTCGTCATTTTAGTTCTGTCTCAGGGAAGAACATTGTGCCGTGTGCAGCATTTTAAAAATACTCACAAATGAACTCAAAACTCTCCCACTCTCCTCTCCCCAGACCACAGATTTATTTGAAATGATTGAAAAGATGCAGGTAAGATGACGACGACGACGATGATGATGATGATGATGATGATGATGATGATGATGAATTCACCTTGCATTTTGTCTCAGGTCTCTGATCTGTTCTCACAAATCAACTAACTAGTCGACTCTGTGTCTCTGACTAATTCTGTCTCCTAAGCTCTTGTGTTGTTCATGAGTATGGCACTGACAGAGGACCTCACTGGACATGTCTCACTGGACATGTCTCACTGGACATGTCTCACTGGACATGTCTCACTGTCTCCGTTAACACTGGCCCACAGCAATTAGAAGCTTGTTGTCTCCCGTCCGTCTACTGTTTGTTTTTAATGACTCTCTCTCTCTGTTTCTCTCTCTCTCACACACACACACACACATCAAAGTCATAATTATGTTTGTGCATCTGTGCTAACAGTTCGTGCCACAGCCACACACTGGCCATTGTTTCAAGTCTCAATGAGTCAATGAAGCGTTCAGTGGCTGTGGTGTCCTCCGTATGTCCTCCTCGTAACTCATTCTGTTTGATGAGTGATTTATGACACCTAATGTAATGCAGCGCTGCCTTTACAAAATACAGTATAAATAATTATATCATGTACAGCAGCAATCCCCAAGGCGTATCGTTAAAGCATTATGACTGTTAGACTGTTAGTATTGGAGTTTCAAAGACGTTTTATTTTGAAAAATTCCCAGATTATGTTTAAATGGAGAAGGTAAATAGAAATGATCAGATTCCCTTCAAATTAAGTCAAATAATAATTCTCTCACTGCGGCCTGGTACCAAACGACCCACGAACCGGTACGGGTCTGCGGACCAGGAGTTGCGCCCCCTAATGTACAGCTTTCCTTGACCCCAGGTGCCATCTCATGGTCTCAGTACGTCCTCTGCTTCACTCTGCTCTGATGAATGTTTGTTAATATTCCGTACTTACTTGAATTGTTTCTACAGAGAATTCAAGTAACTGCATCTGTGCTGCACTAACAGACTACAAATCCTGAACGTCTTCTCTTTAGTAACTTGTAGTTTGTTTGTATTTTTGTAGTTTCTTATTAGTGTCTTCACCACTGATTCAGCAGCATCATGGTTGTGCATCACCTTTCTGACCCATCACTTCTTTCCTCCGAAGGGTCGTCTTATCTCTGCCTCCTCTCTTGCAGGGCCACAGGATGGATGAGCAGAGGTGCGCTTTTCCTCCCCCACTCAAGGTAGAGAACATCTCTCCGCGTGTAAAGACGGAACATTATTCACACCATGCGGTCATTGTGTCAGAAACGCTCGGGCCTATCTTACTTTAGCAGACAGGAAGTACTTCAGTGGAGGAAAAAAAAAAAGCTTAAAGCTAACATTTTTTTAAATGGACTCAGATGTAAGGAACTGGGTCTGAGGTGCATACAGTGATACATATGTTTGTGATGCATGATTTTAAACTGAGGATATAGTGTGTGTACTGAGGATGGTAGGGATTTACAGAGATTTAAATTCCAGGATTCCAGAAAAGTTTGTTTCAATGAGAAATATGAAAAGTGTGGTTTGATTTTTAAAAAGACAGGAACAAATTTAATGTATTTTTTTAATGTTAATTAAAAAACAAGTTACTACTCTTAAAGTCTTAAATTACAATTGCATTCTATCGCCCAGCACAACAGAGAATGCAGAATTTCGAAATAAAAGTGGCAATTTCAAAATAAAAGTTGACAGCACTCTTAGAAAAAACAAACCACTGCATTGAATGACAATAAGCTATAAAATTTAAAATATGAGCTAGGCGTTGTCATAGAATAAAGGACAGGAATAAAGACCAAAAGATCTGAGCTTTGGAAAGAATTGTCAATTGTCTAAGGTTCGATCCCAGGTGGAATCTGACGTCACGTATACACACTAGGGATGGAATTTGATAGGAACTCACAGATTATGAGTCCACTCTCAATATCACTTATTGAATCAATTCTCTATTCAATTTGATTCTCATTAGCTGAGGAAATTAAATATTTTGCAATCAGGTTTGTTTGCAAAGTCTTTCAGATATGAGGTATAAATTTACATTTTCGCATTTGATTTGGTCAAAATAATTTAAACATCATTAGATATTGTAGTGACGTCTGGTCGACACGTGATGATGGAGGATCGGACAAACCTGTTACTCAGGTACCAACAGATGATCTTTTTTTTTTTTTTTTTTGTCTGTTTTTGCTTCCAGACGGAGGAAGACTACATTCCATACCCAAGTGTCCACGAGGTAGACTGTGTTGCAGTGACATTTTTCTCTTTCTCAACTTTACCTTTTACACTAGTTTCTTTTTTAGCTGTCTTTTCCTGCTGCGCGTCAGACGTTTGTTTGCGTTTTTGGAACAGGTACTGGGTAGAAAAAGCCCCTTTCCTCTCATCCTCCTGCCTCAGTTTGGAGGATACTGGATCGAGGGCACCAACCACGATGTCAGCAACACAGTGGACAGCGAGCCGGGACAGCCTCTGTCTCCCAACACCCGAACCAAGCTGGAGTGTAACACAACAGCACCGCTGTACAGGAAACACTTCCTGGGGAAGGTCAGTGACCTCTGGTCCAGTTTTACCGATCTGTCTTTTTAATATTTGTCATTTAGATTGACATCACAATGAAATTACGATGGAATTGGCTCGCAACGCAACTGGAATAGAAAGAATTCTATGCAGTAAAAAAATAAAAATGTATGCATAGAAAAATAAACCTAAAAATAAAATAATTACACAGTAATAATTTACAAGATAAATGTAAATGTTTTGCTCTTTCTGAGCCTGGCTGTTTAGACATCAAGTGTTTTTAAAAATGTAAGCCTTGATTTTTATATATTTGTTTTCTTTTATAATCCTGCAGTTATCTTGTCAATACGTACAACTGAGTTCAAACCAGATCTGAGTCCCATTATTTCTATAGAATATTTCACACTAATTTTCACTCCATATTTAGTTCATTCAAAGCAATGAAGAAACTCTCAGTGGATGAAACCACTCACTGTGCTGCTAATAAAGACACATTAGGGATTCCTCCATCTATTATTCATGCACACACACACTAACGTATCTATTCTACTTTTAGCAGAAGCAGCTTTTTTAGAAGCGGCAGAAGAAAAGTGCTGTTCTCAGATTGGAAGTGTTACGACTCGGGGGCTGCACACACATCACCCGCACGTTAGCGTGTGATTACGACCGACACTAATGACTGTATTCACGTCCTGCGTCCACAGGAACACTTTAATTACTATTCACTGGACAATGCCCTCGGACACATGGTGTTCTCCATGAAGTACGACGTGATCGGAGGCCAGGAGCATCTCCGGCTAATGCTCAGGTAACACTTAGTATTCATATGGGGGCGCTGTCCACTCCTGTTCACGGTGGACGATGGATTTTGTAGAAAAATTAAATAAAAAAAAAATCTGGTTTATAAAAAAAAATGTTTCTTCAAATATTCTAAGAATAAGTGAAATATTTCCGTGTATTTTCCTGCTGTGGGTTTCATTAGAGTCATAAAGCTGGAGAGTGTCAACATCTCTGTCACAGACCAGAGACAGATGGACTATTTAGGCCAGGGGGAAGAGAGAGGGGATCAGGGGGGACACTCTGATGGTAGTCCATCATCTTTTTCAATCTAACTGACCGACTGTTTTATGATCTCACCAGGACCAAACTGAAAACCTACCACGATGTGATCCCCATTTCCTGTCTGACAGAATTTCCCAACGTGGTTCAAATGGCCAAGGTAAAAAGAAACAACACTGTCTCTAACGAGGTTAATCAGTGTCTCAACTCTTCTGACCTTTTTGTGATCGTTTCAAAACTAAAGCTCGTTTGTGAAGACGTCAACGTGGATCGATTCTTTCCTGTCCTGTATCCAAAAGTAAGATCCTGTTTGTTTATTTTTCAAATTACTTATAATTTTCTATACATGTTCACCTTCATGTTCATATGTAGGAAAGTCATCTGTGCTTTTTTCAGATTAAAACAGTTTTGCACTATCAATAATCGACAATAAAATGCCATAGAAAAACAAAACAAATTTTTTTTTTTACCAAATGATTCATGGTCTGGAACTGGTCTGAGACCCAGCAGTTGGTCACATCACATTTCGCTATACAAAAAACCCCAAACTAACTAACTTACAAACTAAGATTTTTAATACGTTTAGTTAAATTTTTATATTTAAAAAAAATCCTGTTTTTTTCTATACTTATACTTCTCTTTTTGTTCTTTTTGTTACTGTTGTCATTCACAGGCCTCAAGACTTATCGTCACGTTTGATGAACATGTCATAAACAACAACTTTAAATTTGGGGTCGTCTATCAAAAGTATGGACAGGTGGGTCGGTGACAGGAAATGTGTCATTTCAACCTCAAACTTTACGCTGTAATTATTGATGTTCTGGAAACGAGTCACTTTGAGCTCAACCTTAAGTTAACGCGGCTGTTTTCATCGCAACCTACTTGTTAAGCATATAAAAGCTGGGGGCACTTCACGTTTGAATTTGTTATTTTGTTTAAATCCACACTGCTGATCCCTCACAGCAGTTCAGGTGTTTTGTTGAATAAACTGTGAATCCGCTAATAAATATTTTATTAGGGCTTTAGGGCCAGTTTAGTTCATGTTTGAATATTTTTAATTCAGTTATAAAATAAATTTAAAAAAAAGCTAAATTCTTCTCGTGTATTTTAATACTGTATGCAGTGGTTATCTTAGCTTGTAATTCGTTCTAATCTTTCACCCAATTGAGCGACCACAGACTGCTAACGCGGTCGTTAAGTTAGCTTGGTGTAACTCCGACAACACCCGTTAATAAACACAAATCGTTTTCCTGTTCTCTACCGGACGGTGAGAAAGTCAACAAAATAAAAGCCTGGGGTCCTAATTACGACTCAGTAAACATCTTATGTCATCATCGTCCCCGATGGACAACAACGGAACCAATCATCAGTATAAATGGAGCATACTGTTTGTTTTGAGGCTAGCGTCTGCAGCCGCATCCTGACTCCACATGTTGACAATAGCTAATCAACCCTCCACCACTGATGGGTGTTATAGTCTCCGACCTGCCTGCTATCTCCAGCCTTAATCGATCTGAGCTTCGTTAGTCGTCCCGAACACAAGTCTGGTGTGTTTGAACAAGATGATAAATACATGTGGAGATACATTTTACTCACGGAGTAGTGATTGATTGTAGTAAAAAATTACATTTAAGTGTGTTTATAGCTGTTCAGTTAAGATATCTGCCCAAAAGGACATCATTAAGTCTGTCCTCTCTATTGCTTCACCTGTGTTTTCTTTGCAAACCCTACATGCAAATATTTCCCAAAAAGTAAACAGTTAATTAATGAACACAAAGTGGTGGTTTATGTACTTAACGTGTCCCTTATATCTACAACCAAAAAGTTTATTTTAACAGGTTTGACTTCTTTAAGAAGTCAGAAATGTGTAAACAAGAATCTCTAAATGAGCACGAAAAAAGATTGGTGCGATTATATTCTCACAAATGTTTTTCCTTTTAATCTGAACCATAAAAACATGGTCAACGAAACAGTCTTTTATTCACAGTGCTGTTAAATATTGATATAATTCATGGCACACAATTAAAACCCTTGCTTTTTAGACTGCACGTTTTCATTTTTTAAAAAGCATTTTTTGATTTAATCGTTGTCGTTTTCGGTTGCTCTGGTCTGATTACAGACCTCGGAGGAAGAGCTCTTTGGCAACAGCGAAGAGAGCGCTGCGTTCGTGGAATTTCTGGAGTTTTTAGGGGAAAAAATTGAGCTGCACAACTTCAAAGGGTGAGTGAGTATTGAAAACAAAATGTCATAGTTTTATGGTAATTTTTTTCCCCACATAACGGAAAATTGACTTGTCGTCCTTCAGTTTCCGCGGAGGATTAGATGTGACTCATGGACAGACCGGGACCGAATCTGTCTACTGCAACTACCGCAACAAAGAGGTCATGTTCCATGTGTCCACAAAGCTGCCTTACACAGAGGGGGACACGCAGCAGGTACCGTGCTGTCACACACCTTTCATAATTTGCAGCCAGGCAGGTTCTTGGTGAACGTTATTTGCGTTTATGTCCCTGTTGCACCGATATGTGACAACAGACTGTTGTAAAAGGAAATGTTTTCTTTTTAAAAAGTAAGTTTTTAATGTGATTCCCTTTAAATCGACCGATGTGTTTATTTAATGTATGAGGTAATGCAGTAAAATACTGTATGTGTTTAAGCGACACCTTTGAGACCGCCAGCGCTTCTAAAGCATTTCTCGGGAAACACCACCCCCTGGTGGTATTTTTAATACTCTCGTAAAAAGGACAAAACAACAGCAACGAAACTAAATGTATTAAAAATGGTTGTTGTTAAAATATGTAAAACCGGATAAAACTAAAACGGATAATTCTGTTTTCAAATGTAACATATATTATACAATAAACCATCGGAAAGAAGTACAAAAAATATTAAACTAAATATTTGAAATATCTGTAAAACTTTTTAACATTTGCCAAATTAAATTAATTTAAAATGCATTATTTGGAGATGATATATTGTTAAGAAATGGAGACAAATATTGGCTGATGCTTCTTTTTTTTCCAAAAAAAATTGTCAGCAGTTGTCACTGCCTTTAAATTACAGCTGTAAAATACGTGTCGGAATAAAACCAGGGCCAACAGGGTGCACTGCAGAAAAAGTTTGTAATTGTAATTGTTGTAAATTGACCATCACTGACATTCCGTTGTTGCCACTGTCAACAGTCAAACTGCATGATAACAGTTCACCATTTGTTGGCAGCTACAGAGAAAGAGACACATAGGGAATGATATCGTTGCCATCATATTCCAAGAGGAAAACACTCCCTTCGTTCCCGACATGATCGCCTCCAACTTCCTCCATGCTTATGTTGTGGTGCAGGTGGTCAACCCATGTTCCAGCAATGTCCTCTACAAGGTGGATTTTTTTTGTCCTCTTTAGAAACTTTCATTTTCCATTCTTGTTCAATAACTGACATATATTTATACTCTACATTTTTTTTAAGGTTTCAGTCACGGCTCGTGATGACGTACCATTCTTTGGCCCGGCACTTCCAAACCCTGCCATCTTCAAAAAAGTATGCGTGTGACCCTGACTCTACCCGTGTGAATTTTCTTCAGTTCATTTTCTCACTGTTTCGTCCTCTTCTCTGTCTTTCTGGTCCTGTTTCCGACCAACCATCTCCTCTCAGGGCCCTGAATTCCATGAATTCCTTTTTACCAAGCTCATTAATGCTGAGTATGCCTGCTACAAAGCTGAGAAATTCGCCAAATTAGAGGTGAGTTACTAAAATAAAAATAATAAAAAAAATCTCAAATACTCCACAGTCTTTGGTATCAGTACTGTAAATGAACTGTCTTCTGGTATGTCATGTCCTACGTTGTGTCCCAGGAGAGGACGCGCTCAGCGCTGATAGAGACGCTGTATGAGGAGCTGCATTCAAACAGCCAGGCCATGATGGGACTCGGACCGGAGGATGACAAGCTGGAAAACGGCAGTGGAGGCGGAGGCTTCTTTGAGTCCTTCAAGGTACAGTGAACTGGAGCAGCATCAGTGGAGTGGGTCTCCACTCTGATGGAACAAATAAAACCAAACACAGGTGTAGTGATGTAGACACGTCTGTCTTCAAATGTCTCGGCCGATCAAATCAGACGACCTTTGGAATTATAACATCAGTCTTAGAACTTTTTGACCGTATTCACTAATCAATTATCCTGTTCAACTTCAACTGAGTGACATAACTACATTTCTTTCATATTTTATCTACATTACTGCACATATAACCTTCATTGCTACATGAAGTAGGTAAAATACTGCACATATTACCTACATTATGATAAAGCTACTGTATATTACTGTGCAGATTTACTCCATTACTGTGGATGAATTTAAAGACTGCATGCATTGACATCAGCTCATGTGAGAGCTGCAGCAGTCTTAACCCCGCCCCTAATGCTCTCAGTGGTTGAGATGAGTGATGTCACAGTCCCAAACTGGTGCTGACCACGCCCCCTGACCCAGAGTTTGTCTCTGTGAGTATTTAGCAAATTAATAATAATAAAAAAAAATCATCGTTACCGGTCATTATGTTACGCATTAAGTAGGTTATTATTTAGAAGGATTTTTTTTATTTATTTTTTTAAATCTCTTTAATCTACAGTATGTTTTAAAGGTCAGGCTGGTGTGATGTTCCGTGGCTCTAACTGTTTCTCTTTCAGGACCAGTGTTATTGTCTGTCTCTGATCTAATCCGATGACCAGACTCTCGGCTGCTCTGCTCTGTTCTGTTCTGCTGCTTCACTCCATTTTCAGCTTCTTCCATTGTTTGTTCTGCTCTTTTCATTCCTTCTGTTCAGTCACTTCTTCATACAGACGTCTAATCTTTCCAGTCTTTTCTTATATAAAAAAACAACCAAACCTTTAAATCTTTAACGATCAGATGCCTTCAACTCATCACTGGTGAAGTGGGCTTTGAACTTCCTCTTTTCTTTGATAAAATCTGAACCTGGACATCCGTCTACTTCCTGTCTCTTCTTCTACTGTGTAAAGTCTTGGACTGGATTGGTCAGTGTTCACAGACAGCCCCCAGGACCCTCTGTGTCTGGACTGATGTACAGTGAAGCTCCCCGTGGTCAGCATCTTCTCAATCTGTCCCCTCCTCCTCATCCTCCTCCTCCTCTTCCTCCTCCTCATGTCTCTTTGTAGCGAGTGATCCGCACCAGGAGCCAGTCCATGGATGCCATGGGTTTTACTTTGAAGAAGGCACCCTCAATCTCCAGTTTCAGCGGAAACTTGGGCCACAGCCCAGCAGAGAGTCTCAAATTCCCCGGGATAGTAAGTACAGCTCTACCGCTCCTGCTCTGGGGTCCGGCAGGTCTCGCCTCTCTTTACCCCCCTCTGCCCCCTGGGGGTCGTTCTAAAACAACTCATATCTTCTCCTCCCTCACTCGCCTGCTGCACTAACTTCTAATACAGTAGAAGAGGGTCGTGTCCACTCACTGGACCTCTGTGTCTGTCTTATTAACTCACGTGTCAACTCTGTCTTCTACTGGGTTGTTTTACTGGTTTTCTCTGTCCTGGATTCTGAAGAGTTTACTTTTTATCCTATTATTATTATTATTATTATTCATGTGTTATTTATATATATAAATGTGTGCCTATGAAAATGAAGTCACACAGTGGAAGAAATGATCAGTGCGTTTGCCTCACTGCGAGGTAGGTCAGCGGTTCTGTTGGTTCAATCACTGGTTCTCGGCCTGTTCAACTACTGCAGTTCTTCGTCCTCTGTTTTTCTTCGTCTTCTTCTTCTTCTTCATCTCTTCTCTCACGGCCTCGTGGCTCACCTGCTTCGACTGACTCATCATTTTTTCCTCCACCATGCAGCTGACTGCGTTTGAACTTTGAACTCCAGAAATGTTCCTCAGTGAAAACATGCTTTGATTTTTTTTATTTTATTTTTATTTTTTTGATGATTGACTGCATGGAACCTCATATATATTTGTTTTCTCTCCCCTCTCTCTGCTCTCTGTTCTCCCCTGTGTCATCTGTCATTACTGTCACCTCTCTCTCTCTTTCTCTCTCTCTCTCTCTCTCTCTCAGTCATTGCTTGTCCCAGGCAAAAGTCCCAGTAAATATGGACGTCGTGGCAGTGCCATAGGGATAGGAACAGTAGAAGAGGTTCATGTCTAATTCTTATTTTGTCACCCTTTCATTGAGATCTGTTTTATCTGCAACATTCTGCTGCTTCAAGGCCTTAGTTGTCACTTAATGTGATTTTTTTTTTGCTTTAAAATGTTTGTTTTTTTTAGCCTAAATAACTCCTTTGGTCAGGACTTAAGACTGAATCATGAACAAAAGTGTTCACAGTCTGTTGCTAAGCCATTAACAGCCGCTCTGTAGTCAATTTGTTGCAGTATTTGCTGCATGTATTTTCCTCATATAGTGTTTTATTACAGAGTACATTACATTAAATAATAATAATTAAATAATAAAAAACTAAATTATTAAATTATTTTGTCGTAGAAAACACTAAAAAAAAGTTATTATTTAAGTTTTTAAAGTCTCTTTGAAGCCATGGAGAACAATCATCTTTTTTTTTTTTTTTAAGTTGCTGAGTCTTTATAATGGGAGATGAAAGGAACAGAGCGTTGGCTGAGGAGCACATTAAGTCCTGGACTCTGGAGCCTTTAAATCCATCTTTTCTCTCCCACATCAGTGCCTCCTGCTGTCGGCTGGCAGGACGGCTCGACATTAAGCTGCTCAGTGCATACTTGATTTTTTTTTTTTATCATAGTGACAACTCCAAATAGGAAGAGGCAGCGCAAAATATTCAGCATGAACTGCTTTAAAAAGGCATTAAAATGTCGAGAGTACATTAAAGGCAAAGGAAATATTTCTGACAGTGACAGTCTCTCTCCCTCTCTCTCTAACTCACCCTCTCCCTCTCTCTCCCCCTCTCTCCCTGGCAGTCTCTGATAATCCCAGGTAAAAGTCCCACCCGGAAAAAAACTGGTCCTTTCGGCTCCAGGCGCAGCAGTGCAATAGGGATTGAAAATATTCAAGAAGTGCAGGAGAGGAGGTGAGAGAAGTGATGCTGTAATAATAATAATAAAATAATAATAATAATGATAAGAAGAAGAAGAAGAAAATAAGAATAAAAGCTTTATTATACGAGATTTGCATTCTGTCCTCAAAGCAGTGAAATAAATAATATATGGAGTACATGAATAAGTTCCAAGACACATATTGTATTTTCAATACTTTATTCATGAGGCAGTACTTTAAAACCAGTGACTGTCTTTTCCTGCTTGTCTTTTTTTTGTGTGTGTTGTTCCCTTTTGCGGTAAGCTTGACGTTCATTTCATAACTAATAAATGTTTTTGTTTCAGCAGAGAATCATCTCCAAATACCCAGAAGACCCCTGACAGTGGTCATGTCTCTCAAGACCCCAAATCTGACAATTCATCCAATCAGAGTTCTCCAGAAGTCCTCACTACTGCCAAAAACAGGTATGTATAAACACACACACACACACATGGTGGTGGTCTAAATAAATCAAATATAAAACGTCTCATTTCTTGTTCTCCAGAAGTCCTCACTACTGCCAAGAACAGGTATGTATAAACACACACACGGTGGTGGTCTAACTATATCAAATATATAACAGCCTCATTTCTCAACAACAACAACGATCTTTAATTGGAGTCAGATTCCTCTTTGTACCACTAGATGACGCCCTCGTGCCACCAGTGGTACGGGTACCATAGTTTGAAAACCACTGCAGTAGAACAAACACAGTTTGAAAACCACTGCAGTAGAACATGAATGGACGTTGTAATAAACAGGAGTTTGTCTGTGCCGTCGTCTGATTAAGCCAGTGTTCAGTTCTCTTTTTGGTGGCAGGACCCCCTCCATCCCTGAGGGTCACGACCTTTCCCGCTCCTCCTCCAACGCCAGCAGCTTCGCCAGTGTGGTGGAGGAGAACGAGGCCACGGAGGACTACGACACAGGCATGGTGGGTGAAGTACCCAGTGTGTACGCAGTGTGTGTGTGTGTGTGTGATCTTCTACCTGACCTTTTGTGACCCCTGCTGTCTGTAGGAGAGTTTGTCGTCGGCCGGCACGCCACACAAGCGCGACTCCTTCATCTACAGCAACTGGCTGGAGGACAGCATCAGCAGCAGCAGCACCACCAGACGCGGGAGCTCCCCAGGTGAGGGGGGACGGAGGGAGGGAGGGACGGTGGCGATGCAAAAATGGACGACAGTTTTAGAAGTGCTGTATATTAGCTGTTAGCTGTTAGCCTCTCTGACAAGATGAATGTGGATGTATTTTAATATTTACAAAATATATATAATCAATTTACATCAAAATATTGAAAAAAAACAAAGTCAGTATTACATGTGTACCTGTTAAACAATAGATCTAAAATATTTATTTCGTCACGACTTGAAATGTAACCATTGATTTAACACAGTTGTGTCTGGACTTTTCTCCTTCAGGTCCTGGTAAACCTGAACGAGGAAAGGGAACAGAAGTCCGGATCAAACTGGAACGACCTCACGACCGTCAGTCCTCGTCGGTAGGTGTTGTGTACAAAAAGTACTTCTATAAATAAATAATGATGTAGTCTCATACTTTAATATGTGTGTTTTCTCACACGCTGTGCAGAAGTGTTAACTCCTCATATTTGGTTGTGTCCTGGACCACCATCTCCAGGTCAGATGTTTCTCACTACAATAATAATTAAAAAAAAATTGCTTTTTAAACCATTATTTAAAAAAATTATATTTGCTTTTGAAACCATTCAATAAAAAAATTATATTTGCTTTTGAAACAATTAATTTCACCAAGCATTATGCATTAACTGGTTCTGACTGGTTGTTTCTAACTCTCTGTTCCCAGCATTCCCATGAGCCACAGTCCTTCTGGGAGATGATACAGGTGCAGGTGCTCGCCATGACAACGAAGGAGATGAAGAAGATGATTTGATTAGGGAATGCAGGTGAAGCCTGACCTGCCTGTTTGTCACTGAGTGTCCGAGACAAGGAATCCATCAGCCTGGACAACACTAGAGAAAAGAAGAGAGAGAGAGAGGAGAGCGTCCGGCTTTTACACATCGTTGCTTCCTCTGACACGTTTTTGCCTTGTTTGTTTTTTTTTCCGTTTCCAAAGCACTTTTTGTTTTATCCACAAAGGTTAAGGTTGTGCCGTTCACAGCTGGGTGGGTTCAGACAGTGCCTGTTCTCTTGTCTCGATTTATCTTTACATAGATTTCAGACGGAGGTTTATCTACGACATGATCACTAGTTTATTTGTGCTTACCACGTCGGTACAGTTTGGCTCTGTGATGCTCTGTAATGCATTCATGGTATGAAATATTCAGCGTCAAATGTGATTATTTTATTCAAGAATATAATCAAGGTAGATATTTTTTTAACATGATTTCTTTCTGGCAGAACACCAAAAGGACTGTGGAGCTTCACCTCTGCTGGCTGCAAATTAGGTTTCAAAACGTAACACTACACATAAATGCAAAACAAAATGTACTCGAAATAAATGGAATGGCCTTAAAGCTTAAACATGCGATGTGTGACACACACGTCTGCAGCAGGTCACGCTCTAAACATCAATGTAGTCAGTGAAGTCACTTCAGAGACACAATGGTCTCCCTCAAAATCTGTGGCACGATTTTCACTAGTGCTGTCTGTGAAGTCTGTTTTTATGTGGATGTGTTTGTCAGTTGGTGATTTTACAGTTATTTTTTACTCTGCTGTGTTTGCATGTGGAGACCAGTCTCTGCAGCATGCTCTCTGTTGTTCCTTTACCTTTTAATATTTCTATTAGGGATGTCAGATATTAACTTTATGCCGATATTGTCCAAACACTTAATTTCCGATTCCAATATCAACCGATACCGATATAGGCCTGCTAACCTCTATCTATTTATTTATCTGTACAAATCACTGTACGAGCATGAGATTAATTAAATAAGCTGCAATGCTGCCATCTAGTGACTTCGAGCGTAAAATATACAGTCGTTTATCCCCAAAACTATTTTTAGGGCACACATTATTTGGCGAAACTCAGGCATTGCGTTATTGGGTTTTCATTATCGGAGGAAAAACCCATATCGATTGTGACAGATATTACATAATATGCTAATATCGAGCCGATATTATCGGACATCCCTACTTTTTATTATTTATTGATTTAGTTTGTGCTGAAGTGGCGTTGATCCACGTCTGCTTCACTGTTCCTGCTGTGGTGACCACAATCAGCATCCTGCCATACGGTGTGTGTGTAGTAAAATGTAAAGTCGTTTAAGCTCTGGGGGTTTTCTTTTCTAGGCTCTGATCTCTTCATGTGCAATGACTTTTGCAATGCAATTACCAGGAATAGGGTGAATATTTATTTAAGAAATGTGAAACAGCATAGCTCCAAATGTGACTACTGATTTTGTAAATAGATACACATTTGGAGAACATTCTCCACGATGTAGAGGTCGTTCATTTCATATGGTGACTGACTGACCAACACCATGAAACAACTGCCAAGTTACCAGTTGATTGATTTTTCTCATACAGTTAAATGTTTTGTACAATAAAGTTATTTTACTGTTCTGTAAAAGGGAAGGTCTCACAGTGAATCCTCCGGATCATTTAAGTTGCCTTATCATCTCAAACTGATGTTGTGAATACGGTAAGTTCTTCAAAAACCAGCACCATTTACGACTTAGCAAATGTTGTGTTGTGGTTATTTTTATTGTAAATAAATGCCCCACCGACCTGAACTATTGTCTGCATCATCTTTGCTCTCCTCTTTTTTTTAACTGTATTCTTGTCTTTTTTTCATTCATATTTTAGTAATTTGGACACAAATTCAATGTGAAAATCTCCATGAATAAATAATGTGACGAGGCTCCCCGAGTGTATCTAAAACTAGAGCAATCTAAAAGTAGAAACTTCTTTTTTTTCTAAGGGACAAAACAAATCGGTTTTATTGAGTCTGAGAAAAATGAGAATTTCACAAAATATAAATATTTTTGTCACGTTATATACACAATGCCTACGTCAGTGTGAAGGAGCTACAAAAATTCGTATTCTACTACAACGACCATTATTATTATTATTATTATTATCGTCATTGGCGTAAATGCCCCTCTACCTGCGGAACTGTTCTCTTCCGTAAGAAACAGGAAACGTACGGAGTCTGCGCTGCACACACCGGATATGCCCTGTTGAAGTCACATTGAAGAAGAAATTCCCGGTCACTGCATAAACCGGTAAGATAATAGTGCTTTTATATTAACGTGTTTCTTTGAATATTTGTCTTGTTAATTATCCGTGTTAATCTTTAAGTTTTATTTTCTTTTACTTTTCCAAATAAATACATGTTGTCAAAAGCGGAGCTTGTGTTAGCATTAGCAACGTCAACGCAGTCTTGAGAACCGTGGTTAGACATGACAACATGCTTCCATTTTTTATACTATAACGTTATCTCCTGGTGACTTTATTTCAGATATTTTTAGAACTTTGACCTAAAACTAGCGTAAAAGTATTATTGCGCTGATAAAGTGTAAACTGTCATCTATTCAACCATTTTATAAGAAAACCCATAGAAAGCTTCACTTTTCAAATATAATGAGAAGAACGTCACTTATCAATTTGCAAAGCTGATGTGAGAAATGTTTGGAATAACGAATACTTTTACTTAATAATCCTATCTTGTCCGCTGCACTAGTTGTTGTTGTCTTAGGTGAACTGTTCTACGAATGTCAGTATTTGGTCTCACTATTCTGCTATTTGTTTTACTTATGAGCATCTGTGCTCGAGCTGCTTACCTGATGATGTCACACTGTACCGCTGTGTTATTAAAACTATTATATTCTCTGATATTTAGGATGAATGCTCACATGATACATTCCTAATGACATCGTAATTTAGATGAATTTTTACGATGTGGGCTTCAAGAGTTGTTCCTTACCTCGGTCGCAGGGCCAGTTGTAAGTACATGTATTTACCTTTCTTACTTTCTATTATGTTGTGTGTGTGATAATTCATTAAAAACTATAATTTTTTTTTATACCTTCAGGTGTACTTCAGACATATGGAAAAACCTTGACAGGACGTGTCCCTCAAACCTTTCCCGCCACATGCTTCTCAGTTCAACAAGGACTTAAAAACTATTCAACAGCAGCAGACAACACGCCTCCTCCTCGATGGATACAGTTGGAACCAGAGTTAGAGGAGGTGCTGGTGCCGCGTAAACTGTCAGTCAGCCCTTTGGAGAGCTGGCTGTCCATGCGATACTCCCTCCCTCCCCTGTTGGAAGCTCCGCAGCCGCTGGAGGAGGTTGAGCTGCTGGAAGAGAAGGTGCTGCCACCTATAGCCGTCCCCATCTTGGAGGATGAAATTGGTTCTGCCACACCTCTTCAGTGTAAGAACGTCCTGGAGATTAGACGACGGAAGATCAACCGGCACAAATATAGGAAGTTTCAAAAACGTATTCGATTCTTGAAGAAGAAAGTGCTGGAGGGCAGAGCAAGGAAGAAGCAGGCAAGTTTTTATTGTGTCTAAAATGTAAAATATATATTTCAAATCTTATATGTTTGATTTATTTTTCTACATAGTGTTTAATGAGGTGTAGGAAAATATTGATATACTAAAATATCACAAGAGTATTTTGTCTCACGATGCCGTATTGATGTTCTATACTATGATGAGAGTTTTTCTATGATTAAATTGTTTTTTTTTTTTTTTTAAACTCAATATATCGTATCATTATATCATTATAAAAATAACATGTTCTTCTTTTCCATTTTGCAGAAAAAGTTTGAACAGGAAGTGAATAGGATTTGGAGACGCGCCGGACTCAGGAAAGAACCTGAAGGATGGAACATCCCAAAAATCTACATTAAACACGGAAACAGAAAACAGTGACAGTCTCTTCAGATTCTACTGAACGTCTCAGTAAAACAACTGTGTCTGAAACCGGCTGCTCTCTGCTCCCTGTACGTTTCTCTGTTTCTGACTGTTTCTTTGTGGAAATGGTAGGTCTTTATAATGTATAATTATCAACAAACGTCTGTATAAATCTAATAAAGAGATTTGTTGTCAGGCACAAACTGTGTATGCTGAAATTGTCTGTGTGCACAATACTGTAGTCTTAGTACGGCAGAGCAGTTACATACATAAGACAGTAGAGGGCAGTATTGTTCAAATAATGTTTTTCCCGTGAGCTTCAGGATGCTGGTTTATTATTATTGTTTTATTTAATTAGTAGGGAAATAATGATAAAATAAAAACAAAATTGAATTAAATATTTAAATATTATTATTATATTTACTCTGAATCCAAACAACCTAATCAAAATGTAAGTAATTAAAATAATTAGGTAAGTAAAATGTTTATAAAGAATTACCTAGTCTATAAGAAATCTGTACGCCATCTAAAGGACAGTTTCAGTAAATAATGATTATAATTTTATGACAAGTTTTATGACAATAAACGTTATTCCTTTAATATGTTGAGTGGAGAGAACCGTAAAGCAGGATTTTTATAAAGGTTGTGTTGGGGGGGAAAAAACTACCTGTGAAATCCTTATATTTTATAAACATATTTAAAGTCCAGTGAACTTTGTTGACGAGGCTGAACCTTTAGATCTGGAGGAGCTGAACGATTCCACAAGGAAGAACGGCCTCGATATATTTTATTTTATTTTCATATTGTGCAAGAAAGAAAAATAAAAAATAGACTTAAAAGGATCAGGTGAGATCATCATTTTATCTTTGGTATTCTTTTTATGTATGGAAAAAAATGAGCAATACTTTTTTTTTATGTTATACATTAAATTTATTTTTACCTTGTATATCTCATTGTTAATTCTCTTCTAATTTTTTTTCCCTCCTTTTTGTTGCAGCAGCATGTCAGTGTCTTCACTCAGACGTCAGTAAAGTGGAATCTAATCTGAAATAATCCAGGTTTGCTAACAGATCTAATACATTCTGTGCTCATAATTCCTTCCTCAGGGCATCAGCCCGGCATCACCTTCATGTTATTATAATTACTGTGTGGACTGTATGCTGTAACAATGACTGGATCCTGTTCAGGATTTCTTTTGCCAAACCTGAGTGTAAACAGATGTGTGTCTACCTGTGGACTTTTCTGTTTCTGCCCGTCCATAAAACACTTTTATTTATTCCTCCTCTCTGTTTGCTGCAGCAGCAGAAGGTGTTGAATTTCAGTGGATCTGGAGGAGGAGCCAGTCCAGACTCCAGACGTTCGACAAAACACAGCTGAGCTGCTGCCGTTGAACTTGAGGCATTTTGTGTTTTTATCATTTCATGCTCGCAGCCGCTCTGAGTCTGACAGGTTTTCACCTCCGCTGTCTGCACAGGGAAACGATGAACACACACCTCATTCTCCTCCACTGTAAGTAAACCACTTTTTTATCCAACTTTAAAAGTCTGAAAAAAACTCAAACTCCGAACTTAAACTGTCTTTGTTTCCATAATTGGATCCAGGTCACAGTCACTTTTCCTCCGGGGAGTTTCTGTGTTTCTGTTCATGTACACACTGCTGTTTCCCATTTGTTTTGTTTTTTTCAAAACAATATTTTTTTCTGATATATTTTTTAAAAACTCTGTGTTTTATTACCTATATTTCTGACCAGTGCCTTTGCATTGTTTTTTTTCCCCCCAAATATGTGGAAGGCATTTTATTTCAACAAACACTGAAACCAAGTGTGCGACGTTTATCATAATTATTCCGTCCAAACGTAACCATGAATCATGCTGTGATTGCTATAATTAAAGAAAAAAAATGAAACAAATAAATAAACATAAAATACCAAAAAGTCCACAACCTGCCATCACTGGGTTGGATCCATAGGTTTTTTTTTGTTTTTTTTTAAGAAACATGCACAAATCAGGCCACTGAGCAGAGGTTTGAAACCTAAAAAATGCAGGTGGATGAGACAGTTTTTGGTTTCATACAACAGGGAAGTAGTGTTTTCAAAAACGATTTTGACAAAAATAATCGTGTCAAGACGTCATAACACTTTAACCAAACCTGAACCAGTTTAAATGACTGAAACTTTGCATCTGGTTTTGATCTCACTTCATCAAAAAAGTTCCTCGGAATTCTACAAAGAAGAAGTTCTCTGAAGGAAACAAGTGTCTCGACTTAAATGCAGGACATGTAGAGAGACAGATGGTATAATTAAAAAAAAAAAAGTTAAATTTTTTTTTATGTTGTCTCTGGACTTTTTGACTGACCCTCGTACAGTTTTAGTAAAAAAAAACACGTTTGTTTTGCGACCTCTATGACCTTTCTGTGATTTTTGAATCCGGTCCCTGTCCTGAAATATTTTCCATCGTTTGTGTACTTGTTAAACCTGTGGAGAGGCAGCTGTGGCTGCAGCGTGTCGGAGTCAAACATGTGGTCTACGTGGGTTTTTCTCGGGCTTCAGGCCAATGTGTTTCTGCTTAATTGCGGTCTGAGAAGAGGAGTCAGCACAATCTGGCGGCCGCTCATTATGTGTGTCAGTAATGAGTGTTTCACTACCAGTGGTCCAGAGGGCATGGTGGGTGGGAGGGGAGGGGCAGAAGAGAGGAGGGGTAAATGGAGGGGGAGGGGTAGTTACCACCTCAGCTGTGTTTATGAGTTTTGTTTTAACGAAGGGGCAACGACATCAACGTGGCACCGAAAAGGTTTTGAGTTTAGACAGAAAGTCAACAACGTTCTATTACGACCTAAAGCAGGCATGAGCAAACTAAGGCCCGGGGGCCATATGTGGCCCATTCAGCTTTTCAATCTGATGTAACAACAAAATCTCTAAAATCTTTTCGATCCTAGAGATAGATTTTTTTTCAACCTTCCCACCCAGAGTTCACACTCACATTATATTGTTATTATATTGAATTGTTGTATAAGCCCCCCCCAGCCCTAACCCCCCCACTCCAAACATTTGAAAAGCATTTGAACTGACTCTTACTTTGCCTGAGCCCAGAGCCCAAACAGGTAGATGTTAAAA